CCCAGAAAAGTCACTTTCTAACTTTATATAAGCATCATATATATGTATAAGAGGAAGCCCTGGGCCACAAATTAGGGACCAGGACTGAACTAATATTCAAGGAGTAAGAGAATTAGAGCAGGGGACCAGAGCACCTTTTATTTTTATTTATTTGTTTTTTTGTTTGTTTAAAAAACCAAATTTTAAAAATATTTAATATTTTTTATTGATTTTTAGAGAGAGAGGACAGAGTGGGAGAGAGAAGCATCAGTGTGAGAGAGAAACATCAATTGGTTGCCTCCCATATGGGCCCCAACCAGGGATCGAACCTGCAACCTAGGCATGTGCCCTGACCGGTAATTAAAGGACCTTTTGGTGCATAGGATGATGATGCCAACTAACTGAGCCACACCGGTCAGAGCAATGCATCTTAGAAATTTAAAAATAAATATATGCTTCATGATTGTTTAGTACAGTGGTTCTCAACCTTCCTAATGCAGCGATCCCCAATTTCATTGTTACAAATTGAACATAATTAAAGCATAGTGATTAATCACAAAAACAATATGTAATTATATATGTGTTTTCCGATGGTCTTCGGCGACCCCTGTGAAAGGGTCATTTGACCCCCAAAGGGGTCGCGACTCACAGGTTGAGAACCGCTTGTTTAGAATGAGAATCATTACAGTTTTTTTAATCTGGTCTAGCCTTATATAGTGTGTGAGGATACTAACACGGAAATGTTACAGAACAGAATTGGCCAAAGCCCCATGCCTCTGCTAGGCATGGCTGGACTATTAAGAGAACAAGAAGCTGCCTTCTTGCTCCCAGCAAGGGCTCTTGACCACTTCACCAAGCTGCTTTGAATATGGTGGTATGTCTTACAGCTAGACAATTGATCCTTATTTGGGGTATTTAAAATAATCAATACTTTATTTCATAAGTCAGGATAATATTTTATTGCTTCTTTGAAAATTTGAGATTTTGGCAGACAGGCTTATTGACCAGACTTAATGGACCTTTGGATCCCATAATTCTGTATGTGTTGCTGATATCATTACATTATTTAGGGAGGAAAGAAGAAATCTGGATAATACAAAGCAAGACATGTCCTCAAATTCAAAATAACTGACTTTGGAATGTTACCCGTCCTGTATGCTCATTTCCTCTGTGCTCTGCCATTCCCATTTCACAGCGCACACACAGTCCAGGAATCTGGGCATTGTTGAAGTAAAAAGTCCCAGATTCCCACAGATGACTCATGTTTAGGAAAGGTTAACTATACTGAATAGCTTTCAGCTATAAGTTAATTATTCATTGGCTGTGTAATCAGGGGTGGTAGGGCTTACTAGGAGCACTTATATTAGAAAACTTAGACCTGGAACATGATACAATATTTGTTGGGTCCTCAGAAATGAGAACAAAATTAAACTTGTATGTTCCTTGAGGTTGCTCATGGCGATAATGGGGGTTATTTAACTTTTATTAACCAACGATGCCATCTGGTGGCCAGAAAGTACATTTTGTGGTGCCCATGCATGCTGCACCAACCTTTTTTTTCTTTGAAAGAATTAACCTCAGTAGCATTTGAGGCATTTTTATTAGCGAAGTTTTGAAAAATGCTTAGTTTGGTTTGGCAGAAGCAGGAAAGTGTCATAGACTGATACACGTCTAATATGGCAAATAGAGTAGATTACTCTGCTCTCCTCATTTTTTAAAAAGGAAACTCCTGTACAAGGTCCTAAATGGTAATTTCCTATGACCAATACAGGTGTGTCTGTCTGGCCTCCTTTCCTGGGTTTCACCTGGATTGTAACAGTCACTGGGACAGCTGGTGGTTTCCGTGCTCCTTCCGTCTGACTCAGGGCAATCAATCATGTTCTAATTCTGCAGCTGAGGCACCGAGTGATTCTTCACTGAGGGCGATCATGGTCTCGTCTTCCTTGAAAAGGTGAAAGTTCTCACAAGGATGCACTGCCACAAGATGCCCTGAAAATACAGATGGATGGATGGATATGTTGGAAAGTTGAATTTTTAAAGTTTAATCTCGGAACATTGAATTTTAAGATACTTTTAAAAAAATTGGCAAAGAGAGTAAGCTTAACCCCATTACATCCTTGATTAATAGCATGATTTTGTAACATCTTAGTGGTGGGTTTTCTCTTCAGCCGATTTGTGTTTCCACTCTGTTCCTGAAGTTCAGGTTGGCGGACGGCAGCTGAGTTTGAGTACAAGGAAAGAAAATGCAGCTCAGGAGCGTATCAGGCTCAGCACAGTGATTCTGAGGTCAGGATTTCCTAATACATCTTCCAGCCGGCTCTCTTGCCGTGGTCAGTAAACGGCGGCTCGCGAGCCACATGCAGCTCTTTGGACCCTTGAGTGTGGCTCTTCCACAAAATACCACGTGCGGGTGCGTGTACAGTGCAATTGAAACTTCGTGGCCCATGCGCAGAAGTTGATTTTTGGCCTGGGCGAGTCTATTTTGAAGAAGTACTTTTGATATTTGGCTCTGTTGACTAATGAGTTTGCTGACCACTGGTTTAGAGAAATGTCTTAGTTCTGTATTAAAGAACAAGCATTGAAGACACAATAGGAACTTGTCTTGAATCAGATACTTAGGTAAATCTGCTGTCCTTTCCATACTCTTCAGCGACCTCGAGGCTTTAAGAACTGTTGCTTTTGATGAATGAGGTAGCTGGGATGTTGAGAACATCTAAGAAGACAACTAAATGTTTTTCCCCAACCCTATCATTCTCATGGAGAAGTTGACTATTTAGACTCACCAAACATGGCTTAAAGAGGGAATTCATTCTGAGTGGAGTCAGAGTGAAATGAAGTTAATTTTCATTTCCAGGAAAAGCTAAGTGTAATATGTAATCAGCGTATTTTGTTAATTTTTGTGGTTTTCTTATTTGATTGGAAGCATACTTTCCATCTTCTGTGTTCAGATTACTTTTAAGATCTAAATTGCTAGTGACAGTCTCTGGCAGGATAGAACCTACACCACGGTGCATGGAAACGGAATGTCGTCATCCACAGTGTCTCATATGGCTTCCTGCCAGTGCTGCATGTCTAGACTCACACAGGTTCTTGGATCACTGTCTAAAGATGCACAGAGTTTCAACACTTGGGTGTGAGTGTTTACTTCATGTAGTACGTTTGGAAACTTGCCACTGGCACCCGAGTTTCCCTTTGTGCCTTTCAGCATGATTTCATAAAACCCTGGGATGAAATATGATATAGTCCATGATATTGTTAATGGAGGTTGATTCTGATAAAAATGCATTGTTTCTTAACATGCCTTTCCTCCTTTCATTTTCTCAACTCCCACTGTCATTAGGATTGGTTTCAGCCTTTATTGTTGTTTACCTAAACTAAGACAGTTCTGTCCAAGAAAAAAATCATTTAAAAAAATTCTAAGCATTTATTGTCCCTTGTGCAAAAGTCCTGGATAAGTACTATGAGAGATAGAAAGATGAATCAGATGTGGGTTCTTCCCACATGGAGCTTTGAGTCAAATGAAAACAAAAACGATTAAAGGCACACAATGAGTAACTGTCATGTAATGTATTATTCAAAGGGAGAGAATATTTCCTTTAAGTGGAAAGTTTAGTAGGAGAAGAGGAATTTGAAATGAGCCTTGAAGAATATGAGGAGAATTTTTTTATTTTTTTTATTTATTTTTATTTTTTTTTAAATATATTTTATTGATTTTTTACAGAGAGGAAGGGAGAGAGATAGAGAGTTAGAAACATCGATGAGAGAGAAACATCGATCAGCCGCCTCCTGCACATCTCCCACTGGGGATGTGCCCGCAACCCAGGTACATGCCCTTGACCGGAATCGAACCTGGGACCTTTCAGTCCGCAGGCCGACGCTCTATCCACTGAGCCAAACCGGTTTTGGCATGAGGAGAATTTTTATATGCAGAGACAGAGGAAGGATTCAGAAGAAGGGAACATTAGAGACAAAAAGTATGGAGCCAGAGAACACATGGGCAGCATTTAAGGAATTGTGCAGAATCAAACTTTGGTAAGAATAAAGGGCCTGTGTTGGGCAGTAGCAAGAGAGAAAGTCAGAAAGTCAATAGGGACCATGTACTGGGGGACTTTAAATTCCAGGGAATGGAATTTATTTTAATTTGATAGATAAGGATTAGCCATCCAACATTTATCAATAGACAAGAGAGTATTACCTCAAAATCCTGTTACATTCCTTTTTGTTAAAGATTTATTAACTACAACCTATTGCTTTAATTTCTTTCCATATTATAAGAACCACCATAAACTATGTCGCTCATTTTACAGACCATTTTCCTCTAGATCAGTTTTCTCAACTGCAGCTGTGTTGACTTTTTGGGTCAGATAATTTTTTGTTGTGGGGCTGCCCTGTGCATTTGTAGGATGTTTAGCAGCACCCCTGGCCTCTCATCAATAAGTGCCAGTAATCCCTCTTCCCCCAGTTGTAACAATCAGAAATATCTCCAGACATTTCCAAATGACCCCTAGGAGCCAAATTCACCCCCATTTGAGAGCCCCTAGACCAGTGTATTGCATTCTTCTGGTGTTCTGATGTTGTTAGACTTAGATGGACAAACCTAAGAGTCCCTTAGGCATTCAATCTATTAACGCTTGGAATTTTGTATTAGACTACATATGATCTTGAGGTTAAGGTATTTCATGTGTGAAATATCTGAACTGGGCATCAGGAGGCCTGGATTCCAGTCCTGGCTCTGCATAAAGAGGTTGTGTGACTTGGGTGAGACACTGTACTCAGCAACCTGGTTTCTCCTCTCCGAAATGACTGGTGTGACCTCTGAGGCTCTTTTCTGCTATCATTCTCTGTCCTGATTTTAAATTGTTCTTAGGGCTTTATTCTTTCACACTTTAGAAAGGTAGCACAAATTGGACTAGCATGTGTCTTAAGCAACAAGAATGACTGACGTATTTAATAAAAAAGACAAGTGTTTTTCCCCGTAATGCTTTATTACACTAAATACTATCATTTTTTTCCATTTCTAGATTATTTGAAAAATCTTTTAGAAGACTCTGGAGATTACAGAAATACTCAAGGTAAAAACTTTTTTTTTTTAAGGTAAAAATTTTTGTGGTCTTATATATTGTAGAAGTTTTTATATTATGTTTTATTTGGACTGAGAAATTAAAAATATAACAAAACTCTTTTATTTATAAGAAGCCTTTTCTTTTTTTCAAAACGCTATTTTGGGCAGGTTAAAATAGAACTAGATAAAGTGGTACAGTGGAGCTGGATGTGGGTAAAGATAATTTAGGGACAAGCGTGGCCCAGGGTGAGCTGGCCATGGGAGCCAGCTGCCTGAGAGTCACCCAGCATGCTGGGTCAGGGAGCTCCATCCTCCTATGTTAGTCACCCTTGCCAGATGTCAGTTCTCCTCCTCTAGATGCCCATTGCTTTCAAAGCAGGGGTTGAACCAGTTAATCTGCATTTAAAATCGTGAGTTCACGAGGTGACCAAACTACACAAATCAGGGCTAACATCAAAAATAGCATGTAGTTCTAGACTGTTTAATGATGGGCATTAGCCTTACCCCATCATGCCCAGTGGTATTTAAGTGGAGTAGTCCATTACAGTACAATGGATTCATTGATGTTCATGGGATAATCCATAGTGTGTGTGTGTATGTGTTTCTCTCTTACACACAAACACACATGTGATTATTTCTGTTACTTCTGGTGTTTCTTTCTATTTACCCCATTTCTTTCAAAAGTCATAGATACATCCCTCATTCTGATCTGCAGAAACACATTAAACAAGTCCATGTCCATCCCATTACTTTTATGAATTTTTATCATATTCCTGTGTTATCCTTTATATTTTCCGATTATAAAACCAAACAGGTCTTTAACCCATTTTGTAGAGATTCTTATTCATTCTCTTAATTGTTTTACTTCTCCTTCTCTAACATCTTCTATTTGCAAGTGTTATGCTTTTAAAGGTGCTTTTTTTTTTTTTAAAGGAAAAGTTTGGGGTGGGAAATATGACATGCGTCTTGCATTCAGTGAACATACCTAGTTGAAGAAAAAAGCCTGCCCAGCAGACAAAGAAAGAGTAGATAGCTGTAAATTTAGGATGCACTAAACAGTACAGAATCCTTTGAAAGAGGGAAAAAAGTGTGAAGGTTGAAGAGGCAGAGCTCTGCGCAGAGAGAAGTGGGGCCAGAGAGGAGTTGGGTAGGCAGAGCAAGGATGGGCATTCCAGATCAGAATCTCTCTCATGAAAATAAAAATTTTAAACAGATCTTAACAAATAGGGCCTCAAGAAAACATCTCCTCCAGGGCCTCTGCCCTCAAAGACAGTGAATTATTAGCTCCATTCTACAGATAAAACAAATACAGGGCCAGAGATTAAAGAGCTTGTTTAAAGGAAAATTACACACTTGAGCAAAAACTGAATTAGAATAAGCAGTGAATAGTGAAGTGCACTGTATGGCCAGGTGCACCGCAGTAAAGTGGTGAGCAGTTGTAAATGAGGTTGCCAAGGGTGAGGGGAAATGCGACAGATATACCTCTGGAAGGCAGGCAGAGGAGTTAAAGTGACAGAGTCACCAAGGCCTCTTAAAGGGATGACCTGGGGAGTAGAATTACAGACTGGGTGAGAGAATGCAGAGTTTGGAATTCAGATGACCAGACAACAACAGCTTTATCCTTTCATCCAAAATCTTCTCTCCCTGCCCACTTGTCCTTCAAGCAGCCAGAAAGCAGGGGGTGTGCCAAGGACCATCTCCTAAATAGCTGGCGTGATAAGTGCCAGGTGCAATACAGTAGATTTATGGTTGTGGGGAAATACTGCTTTCCTTTAATAATGGTGATAGTAATGAATTTGTATTTAAAGAATATAGGAACCCCCAGGATTGATACCAGAAAGAGAATCTCTTGGTAGGTTATAGTAGTTGGACCAAAAATCCTCACCCCCTTTCCAATAATTGATCTTTTGTGTATTTTTTAAATTGTCCTTTTGTTGTTGATTACTGTTCCCGCTACACCAGCCTCAGGAGGGCATATTCCCTTTTTAACACTACCAGTTTTTCTCAGTGGGAGTCCTACTGTTACATTGTCTGGAATAACCTTTGTGTGGGTATCTAATTAGGAATACAGAATGTTTAGCATCCCTGGCTCCTACCCACTAAAGGCTAGAGGACCTTCCCAGTCATGTGACAACCAAAAATTGTCCTTACACATGTCCAAATGTCCCATGGGGAACACTACTGTCTTCGGTTGAGAACAACTGTAGCCCCAAAGGAGATAAAGTTCAGACTTCTTTTTATAGCTAGTTGCAAAACTAATAAGACTGGAGCAGTGAAAGTCACTTTGCTAACAACAAGGGGTTAATAAAAAGAATGAAATACAAATGAAGCTAAGTAACAAAGTAATGCATGCAATTTCCTAAAGTCTAGTATGCTTGCATGGGACATTTTCCCCTCTTGGGATCAGACTAAGAGAAGGCAGCTGAGCCCTAGCCAGTTTGGTTCAGTGGATAGAACGTTGGCCTGCAGACTGAAGGGTCCCGGTTCAATTCGGTCAAGGGCACATGGCCAGGTTGCAGGCTTGATCCCCAGTAGGGGGCATGCAGGAGGCAGCCAATGAATGATTCTCTCTCATGAATGATGGTCTCTCTCTCTCTCTCTTTCTCCCTCCCTCCCTCCCTCTCTGAAATCAGTAAAAATATATTAAAAAAAGAAAAAAGAAGGGAGCTGAGCCCTGACCCTCTTACATAATTGCTTTCTGGTTTCCTGTCCCAGGATCCCTCACTCCCAAGGCAGTCTACACTGGAATGGTCCTTAGCTTCCAGGTGAAATCCTATCTGTATCCTTGTAAACTTCAAGAGGATAATCAAGTTTCAGCACAAAACAACACTGACATTCATACATTAATACACATGGTATATCATGTCTGTCTTTTTAAAAAAATATATTTTTATTGATTTCAGAGAGAAAGGGAGAGATAGAAACAACAATGATGAGAGAGAAACATTGATCAGCTGCCTTCTGCACGTCCCCTACTGGGGACTGAGCCTGCAACCTAGGAATGTTCCTTGACCAGAATTGAACCCAGGACCCTTCACTCTGCAGGCCAACACTCTATCCACTGAACCAAACCAGCTAGGGCGGTATATCATGTCTCTTTAGACCAGTGGTTCTCAACCTTCCTAATGCCGCGACCCTTTCATACAGTTCCTTATGTTGTGGTGACCCCCAATTTCATTGTTACAAATTGAACATAATTAAAGCATGTTGATTAATCACAAAACCAAAATGTAATTATATATGTGTTTTCTGATGGTCTTAGGCAACCCCTGTGAAAGGGTCGTTCGACCCCCAAAGGGGTTGCGACCCACAGGTTGAGAACCGCTGCTTTAGACTCTCTGGTTCATTTTTTTCCTCTCAAGTTCTCTATTTTGCCTGTTCCATGCTCTCATCATCCATACTTTTGCCTATTCTCAGTTATCCAAGATCCTGTAGCAGTTGGTTGCTGTAAACTAGCCATCTTGTTGCCTGGAATTGCTTCATGTTGCAATTCATTGGTAATGACCAAATCCCCCTCTGTTCCTACATATTTTAGATGCCCTTGCTGTTGTTATAGAGGTAGCCAACCACGCCAATGACACCATGAAGCAAGGAGTAAGTATCTGATTTCAGTGGCTGTGTACTATTGAACCTGGGAGCCAGGCCTTCATATGCTCTGCGTTCTCTCTCTGTAGGACAACTTCCAAAAACTTATGCAAATTCAGTACAGCTTAAATGGACACCATGAAATCGTGCAGCCTGGACGGGTGAGTGTTTAAGACTATCTTAGGCAAATTTAATCTCATGCTTTTAGGCACAGTTTGTAACTACTTTTCATTTCAGTTATGAAAATAGATTATTTGTTATTGTTACTCTTCATTGACCCAGTTTGGGTCACCTAAGTTCATTCTACCAATCTAAACATTCATGACTTAAGTCACTTAAGAAGTCCAATTCAATTAGGAAAATGGCAAGGGACCCCACAGAGTCTCTGATTGAATAGGATCACTTTATTGTGTAATACTAGCTGACCTCATACAACTTTAAAGACAATTTCATTAAAATCTTTCATGTCAGAGAGGATTATGAGGGGAAGGAGAAAATTGGTATTTTGTTGCTGCTAATAGAGCACAAAAATGGCCTAGGGAATGAATTCAGGGAAATTACAAAATGCAATTGTCAGGATGTTGGCTATGCCTTGGGATAAAGTACACACTGGGTCAATTACATTTCAGACCACATAGTACCCCTGGGGCCAATATTGGATTTATAAAACTGCAGCCTTGTCCAATTCCTAAATGACTTAGAGGGTTTAGAAAGAAACCATGACTTTAAAAAGTCACAAGGAAAATAATGTCCGCCCAGCTCCCAGAGAAAAAAATCTGGGGAAAGAAAGTTGAAAAGGAAATTATATGTATATTGTTGTGTTATGATGATAGGACTAAATGGGTGTTTGTTTGGATGAATCAGGTTTTTCTCAAAGAAGGAACTCTGATGAAGCTGTCTCGGAAAGACATGCAGCCCCGAGTGTTCTTCCTGGTAAGTGGCTGTGTGTGTTCCTGATGGTCCCCAGGAAGGCATAATTGCTTAATCAAAGGAGACATTTGTACATTAGCACATTCAAATAGCAGTTTTAGTGGGATCTGTGACTGACTGTATGCTCCTTTGCATTTCAAGTATAGGAAACAAAGATGCATAACCAGAAACTTATTTTCTTTTTTAATTTAGTTTATTTCATTTTTAATTTGGAAAAATTGATTCAATCGATTATTTAGGCAGATTATAATGCCTTAGTGGGATTTAGCATTCAGAAACCATTAAATCTGTCTACAGAACTTGGAAAGAAAGCACATTTTTTCACAATTGCCTTTTTAATAATATTTTAATAGAACATTCTGGGTGGTTTTAGTTTCTGTAAGCAGAACGTAAGTATTTATGCAGAGAGCTTTTATTTTTTTATTTTTTATTTTTAAATATATTTCATTGATTTTTTACAGAGAGGAAGGGAGAGGGATAGAGAGTTAGAAACATCGATGAGAGAGAAACATCGATCAGCTGCCTCCTGCACATTCCCTACTGAGGATGTGCCTGCAACCAAAGTACATGCCCTTGACCAGACTCGAACCTTGGACCCTTGAGTCCACAGGCTGATGCTCTATCCACTGAGCCAAACCGGTTAGGGCAAGAGAGAGCTTTTAAAGAAGTAATAATATTAGCTTTTAAAGAGCTAATAAAGAAGTAATGTTTTTTCCTTTATTTCTGTGTCTTATCAATAACTTTGTAGATGAAATTTGTTCTTTTACTTTATCCTATGAAATGTTTCTACTTTCAGTTTAATGATGCCCTATTGTATACAACACCAGTACAGTCTGGGATGTATAAACTGAACAACATGCTCTCATTGGCTGGAATGAAGGTCGGTGCATCTGTTGGAAGGTTTTGTTTTAACCTAAATATATTTAGAGAAAATTCCCTAAGATAATTATCTTTAACTTTTTCTTCTCCATGTATTACTGTCCATGTATTCATTCAATCATTCATGTCGTCATTTGTTCACTCATACATTAATTTATTCATAACATATTTATTGAGAATGACTATAGACAACATGGCAATAGGTTTGGCGGAAAATATAAAGATAAATGTAAGCACGATTCTTGCTGTCTCTGCCCCTATGCCAGTCTCCCCAGGAGCTTAGCAACTAGTAGGGAGGATAATGCACTATGCATAAACGCTTATAAATTAGACAGTAATTAATATCACCATAAAGGCACAGTTAAAGTTTTTGGTTCGGAGTGCAGCTTTTGGTGGGACATGGTGGAGGTATTGATGGCAGCTAGGAAAGAGGGAGAATTGGGGAAGTCTTTTTGGAGGAAGAACCAAGAATAGGTCACATTTGGCCATGCTAAGATGTGGGGAAAGGCATTCCAGGTAGAGGGAATAGTGTGAGCAAAGGCCTAAAGGTGGGAAAGTTGGGCCTTTGTGTACATAGGTATTTATTTTAATTTTATTTAAATATATTTTTTTATTTATTAAGGTACTATATATGTGTCCTTATCCCCCCATTGTTCCCCCACCCCCCCCTCCGCTCATGCCTTCACCCCCCTAGTGTCTGTGTCCATTGGTTATGCTTATATGCATGCATACAAAGTTCTCTGGTTGATCTCCCTTCCTTTCCCACACGCTTCCCTGCCTTCCCTTGACAGTCTGATTGATGATTCTCTGTCTCTGTTTTTGTTCATCAGTTTATGTTGTTCATTATGTTCCATAAATGAGTGAGACCATGTGATATTTATCTTTCTCCAACTGACTTATTTCGCTTAGCATAATGTTCTCCAGGTCCATCCATGCTGTTGCAAATGGTAGGAGTTCCTTCCTTTTTACAGCAGCGTAGTATTCCATTGTGTAGTTGTATCACAGTTTTTTAATCATCTGCTGATGGGCACTTAGGCTGTTTCCAGATCTTAGCTATTGTAAATTGTGCTGCTATGAACATAGGGGTGCATATGTCTTTTCTGATTGGTGTTTCTAGTTTCTTGGGATATATTCCTAGAAGTGGGATCACTGGGTCAAATGGGAGTTCCATTTTTAGTTTTCTTTTTTTTTAATATATTTTTATTGATTTCAGAGAGGAAGGTAGAGGAAGAGAGAGATAGAAACATCAATGATGGGAGAGAATCACTGATCGGTTGCCTCCTACAGGCCCCACACTGGGGGTTGAGCCTGCAACCTGGGCATGTGTCCCAATCGGGAATTGAACCATGACCTCTTGGTTCATAGGTCAATGCTCAACCACTAAGCCACACTGGTTGGGCTTCTGCCCAATCGGGGCACGTGCCTGGGTTGCGGGCTCAATCCCCAGTGTGGGGTGAGCAGGAGGCAGTGATTCTTTCTCATCATTGATGTTTCTCTCTCTCTCTCTCCCTCTCCCTTCTTCTCTGAAATCAATAAAAATATATTTAAAAAAAATAAAAATAAATTCATTTGTAGCAGAGAGTAGGTGAGGGAAAGCAGTGATAGATAAAGCTGGAAATAAACGAAGGTTGGTGGTGGATGTCAGCATCTAGGTCACTGGGCAATTTTAACTGTGCTTCAAAGATGAGATTTTTTAATAAGATGAGTTTGCTCAAATTGTTTTGCTTTCTTCCAGGTAAAAAAACCTACCCAAGAAGCATATCAGAATGAACTACAGATTGAGAGTGTAGAACGTTCCTTCATTCTCTCAGCCAGGTAAGTTTAAAAACTCATAGATGAGCATTTGCCAGTATTATAGGGTCAGCCATCTCCAGCCTTTTTTTACATTTAAGTTAACTACTAGACTTATCTTTTCCCCCTTCTTTTCTTTCTGAATACCATGCAGGTATCTCGTGGTTTACCATGTAGATAAAATATCTGAGAGTGAACGAATGCAACACAGTGCTAGAAGCACACAGATAAAAATGTTCCTCTGAGTAGAATAATAATGCTGAAAAATGCTTTGCTGATCATTTTTTAAAGTGAATATTTCAACACATTTTTAAAAACAAAGAAGGTGAAGGGATTAGCCAAAAAATATATATGCATAACCCATAGACACAGACCACAGTGTGTAGATAGCCAGAAGGAAGGAGGGGTCAAATGCACTAGGGAGGTGGGCAAAGGGGGAGGAAATGAGGACATCTGTAATGGTGACAACAATAAAAACAAAGTAAAAATAAATAAATAAATTAATTAATTAATAAAAACATCTAGTGCTTTGAATCTTTTACTAGAAGTTTTCACCTAACATTGAAAGGACATAAATCTACGAGATAGGTGTCATCTCACTAAAGATGAGGAAGACTAAGTTACAGAAAAGTTGAGTTTCTATCTTAAGGATACATAACTGGCAAAGTCACAATACAAATAGAAATTTTTTGCTTTTAAATCTGTTGTTATTTATGATACCACATTGCCTTAACTAGAACCTTCGGTGCTTAAGTATAAGTAAAGCTGTAATACCATCTACACTAATAAAAGACAAACATGCAAATTGACCTTACCTTCGCTATGCCTTAAGCCATGCCCACCAGCCAGTCAGAGCAACTATATGCAAATTAACCCAACCAAGATGGCGGCCAGCAGCCACTGAGTGGAGCAAGCAGGAGGACTGGTTGCCCCAATGATGGAGGAAGCCAAGCTTCCCATTTGCCACAGCTGGCTCTGAGCTCCACTCAAAGCAACAAAGTTTCAATTATAGAAGATAAATAAACCTCAGATACCTGCTTTCAGCTGGCTGTGGCCACAGAGCTGTAGCGAGCAGGAGACTTGGTTGCCCCAGTGATGGAGGAAGCCAAGCTTCCCTCCCACCTGCCCTGGCCGGCTTTGAGCTCCTCTCAAGGCTACAAAGTTTCAATTATAGAAGGCAAATAAATCCCAGAATTAAAAAAAAGAAAAGAAACAAAGGAGAGTCTGGGAGCTTCTGTCACCAGCAGGGGGGCTTGGCCAGCCTAAAAACCGGCCCACAGCCCCTCACCCAGACTGGCCAGGCACCCCAGTGGGGGCCCCCGACCCTAAAGGGGGTGTGGCCAGCCTGAAAACAGCCATCAGCCTCTCACCCAGGCTGGCCAGACACCCCAGTGGGGAACCCCACCCTGAAGGGTGTGTGACCAGCCTGCAAACACCCATCAGCCCCTCACCCAGGCTGGCCAGGCACCCCAGTGGGACCCCCACCCTGATCCGGGACACCCTTCAGGGCAAATCAGCCACCCCCACCCATGCACCAGGCCTCTATCCTATATAATAAAAGGGTAATATGCAAACTGACCCTAAAAGCAGAAGGACTGGGAATGACTGGTCACTATGACACATACTGACCATCAGGGGGCAGACGCTCAATGCAGGAGCTTCCCCCTGGTGGTCAGTGTGCTCCCACAGGGGGAGCTCTGCTCAGCCACAAGCCAGGCTGACAGCTGCCAGTACAGCGGTGGTGGTGGTAGCCTCTCCCTCCTTCTCAGCAGCGCTAAGGATGTCCGACTGCAGCTTAGGCCTGGTCCCCGCTGGCAAGTGGACATCCCCCAAGGGCTCCCGGGCTGCCAGAGGAATGTCTGATTGCCAGCTTAGGCCCAATCCCCCAGGGAGCAGGCCTAAGCCAGCAGGTGGTCATCCCCCAAGGGGTCCCAGACTGTGAGAGGGCACAGGCTGGGCTGAGGGATGCCCTACCCTCCCCCCCCCCCCCGAGTGCACAAATTTTTGTGCACCGGGCCTCTAGTATGTAAATAAAGTCCTAAAGAAAACCTGAAGCTGTATAAACATAAATATACATTGTTGAGTTATTGGCCAAGTGGCAGAAGTGGGTGTTTGGCAGGATTTGACAGGTGAAGAGAGAGATAGCAGCCATAGTGTGCTCTACTGCTGGATCTGGACAGTGAGTCTGGGAGGCTCTCAGACCAACCTTTGATTTTAATAAAAGTGGTAGCAAATACTTTAGTAGCATTTACACTGTACCAGGCACTATCCTAAGCACTTTCTGTGTATTAATTCATTAAATCTTCACAACAACCTTCAAGGTAAGTGATGACTATTACACCCCTTTAATGGTGAGAAAAGCCACCCAGCTATCAGGTTATCAGGGCCAGGATTTGGACCCAGGCAGCCTGCTCACAGCTGTGTCCAAATCACTGAAATCAGTTAGGGTCCTAGTAGCACCTTGAGTCGTAATGGAACCATTTGTTTTTCTGCATTAGGCATGGTTGTAAAGGTTTTATATTTATTTTCTCTTTTAATTTCTATGATAACTAGTGGAGTTTGTATTGTCTTGATCTTCCATATAAGGAAAATGGAGCCTGAAAACATGTCCAAGTTTACATAACTAGTAAGCAGTGGACTAAAATTTGAACCTAGGTGTATCTGACACTAAATTTATGCTTTTAACCATAATAATATTGCCTATGTCCACATGTCAAGGACTCAGACCAAAATCAGAGGAGCACAAGAGCAGCTAGCTCCCTAAGTCATGTCACTTTTCTGAAAGGGAATGGCCACTGCTGCCAGACACCAGATCTCAGGATGACAGGAGAAGTTAAATACCTGTTTTCAGAATTTGTCAGATGCTTCCCAGTTTCAGCCTGCGCTGTGGCCTTCTCTCCCCCCACCACCCTTCCTCCCTCTAACCAACCTACCTTCCCTCCCTCCCTCCCCCACTCCCTCCTTTTTTTGAGTTTGAGCAAAATTGCAAAGAACATCAAGTCCCAGTATATCAGACTCCTTGCAAATACTTAAGCTTGGTTCTTAAAATCAAGAAAGTAATTTTCAAAAATCCAAAGAGGAAATGCCCATAGGAAACTCAAAATTTTAATTGTACTTAAGTTTTATAATAAAAATGTGCTTTGGTAAAAACAGAATTCTATTTTATTAAAGATTAAACAAATCAGGAAATGATATAAATCTTTCTTCGGTTTTCTATCAGTAAATATCTGAATGTCCATGTTTTCCCAGATTGGCCTCCTAGACTTTAGGAAGGGCATTGGATTTTTCAATATGATGGAAAACCATCTGAGGGTTTTAAGCTAAAAACTGATCTGGTTTAATTTACATTTTTAAAAGAGCACACTGGCCACTTTGTAGAGGATAGACCACTGGAGACTAGAGTAGAAGTTGGAAGACCGGATAAGTGGTTGTAGATGACAGTGTCTTGGACTAGAGTGGTAAGAAGTAGTCAGAAGCAGGTATAGACAATAGGATTGCTGATGGATTGAATGTGGGATATGCAGGAGAAATGATAAAAGTGGGAAGTTCTTGATAAAGGTGAAAAATAAGTCTCCAAGATAGGATTAAGGTGGCATGGAGGAAGGGAAACAAACTAACACATAGTGAATACCCTTTCTGAATACCCCAACCACAGTGAGGCAGGTACTGTATAACATGTAAAAGGGGATTAAGAAGGTCTCTTGTGATCTGGTTCTTGTCTTCCTCACCAGCCTAATCTCCATTCATCCTTCCTATACCCACCCCCATGAAAGCCTGGCATGCTCATCAGCATGGATCTGCTTATGGTTCTCCATCCACACCAGCCTACTTCACATCCTTCTGCCTTGCACAGGCTGCCTTCTCCTGAAATTCATTACTTTGTTCAATAAATTATATGAGTCTCTGCCTTGAGCCAGGCATTGGGGATACAGTGGAGAATTAAAATGGCCCTTCTCTCCCGAAGCTTATAGTCCATTAGGGAAGACTCACAAATATTAACACAATCAGTAATTACGGTGATTAAGTAGTACACAAGAAGACTACCAGGAGATATGAGGCTGTAAAACAAGGGACCTTGAACTAGATTTGGCAGAGAATGAGCAGTCAGGGTTAGCTTCCCTAAAGACCTGCTGTGTCTACTTCATTATGAAGGGTAAATAGGAGTTGGATAGCTAGGCAAAGAGGAAAGGAAGAGGCTCCCGGTCATTAGGAACATTTCGTACTAAGGTGGAAAGAAGCATGGCATATTCAAAGAACTGAAAGGCCAGTGTGGCGTGAACATAGAGAATGAAAGAGGCCCAAGATAAGCCTGGAGAGAGGGAGGGAGGTTTCACAGAACCATCTTGTGGACTTGGGTCTTTAGCCTAAGAGCCACAGGAAGCCACTGAAAGGTTTATATAAAGGAATGATGTGATCAGACTGGCATTTTAAAAGGAGTGTCTGGTTGCTGTGTGGAGAATGGCTTGGGAGGGGAACTAAAGGAGATGGCTAATTGGACAAAAAGGATGAGAAAGAGAGTGAGCATGAGCTCCAGATTGTCCATTGTACTGGGCAGTGGTGCCGTTCACTGTGACAGGGAATACAGAGAGGAGCAGCTTTGGAGGAGAGATCGGGAATTTAGTTTCAGATGTACACATTGAATGTGAGGTGCCTATGAATCATCAAAATGGAGCCATCAAGGAGACAGTTTATGTAAGTATCTGAATGTCAGAAGGAAGCTGGACTAGATACATATATTTGGGAATCATCAACTTAGAGATGAGAACCAAAGCCAGGAGACTGAATGAAGGTGCACAGAGAGACTAAAGAGTTCCCTGTCAAACTCCTAGAATTCTTCCCAGCCTATCTTAGTCATCACCTCTGCAAAGTCTTCCCTGCTACCTACAGAAAGTAATTTACTACTTCTGTGTTCTTTATCTACCTTGCATTTATTATATCATACTAGAGGCCCGGTGCACAAAAATTTGTGCACTCGGGGGGTGGGGGGTCCCTCAGCCCAGCCTGTGCCCTCTCGCAGTCTGGGACCCCTCGGGAGATAATGACCTGCTGGCTTAGGCCTGCTCCCGGGTGGCAGAGGGCAGGCCCAATCCCTAGGTGCTGCTCCTGGTCGGGCTCAGAGCCGGGCTGATTGGGGAGTTGGGGCGCCGCCCCCTGTCATGCACAGAGCAGGGTGGATTGGGAGGTTGCGATGCCACCCTCAGTCACGCTCAGGGTAGGGCCGATTGGGGGGTTGGGGCACTGCCCCCTGCCACACTCAAGGCAGGGTCGATGGGGAGGTTGCGGCGCCACCCCTGTCACGCACAGAGCAGGGCCAATCAGGGAGTTGGGGCGCTGCCCCCTGTCACGCACAGAGCAGGGCCCATCAGGGGGGTTGGGGCTCTGTACCCTGTCATGCACAGAGCAGGGCCAATCAGGGGGTTGGGGAGCTCCCCCCTGTCACGCACAGAGTAGGGCCCATCAGGGGGTTGAGGAGCTCCCCCCTGTCACTCACAGAGTAGTGCCGATAGGGGAGTTGTGGCACCGTCCCCTGTCACACACAGAGCAGGGCGGATCAGCGGGTTGGGGCGCCGCCCTCTATCACCCACAGAGCAGGGCCGATCAGGGTGTTGGGGTGCCGCCACTGTCACACTCAGGGCAGGGCCGATGGGGAGGTTATGGCTCTACCCCGTCACACACAGAGCAGGGCCCGTGGGGGGGGGGGGTGTTGGGGTGCCGCACCCTGTCACACACAGAGCAGGGCCGATCAGGGGGTTTGGGCGCTGCCCCCTGTCACACTGATCCCAGTGCCAGGAGGCCTCTCGGCTCCGCTGATCCCGGTGCTGGGAGTCATATTACCCTTTTACTATATAGCATAGAGGCCTGGTGCATGGGTGGGGGCCAGCTGGTTTGCACTGAAGGGTGTCCTGGATCAGGGTGGGGGTCCCCACTGGGCTGCCTGGCCAGCCTGGATGAGGGGATGATGGCTGTTTGCAGCTGGTCACACACCCTTCAGGGTGGGGGTCCCCACTGGGGTGCCTGGCCAGCCTGGGTGAGGGGATGATGGCTGTTTGCAGCTGGTCACACACCCTTCAGGGTGGGGGTCCCCACTGGGGTGCCTGGCCAGTCTCGGTGAGGGACTGAGGGCTGTTTTCAGGCTGTCGGGTGACTGAAGCTCCCAACCTCTCCTTTTTTTCTTTTTTTTTTTCTTTTTTATTCTGGGCCAGCTTTAGCTATGGCTCCAGCTCTGCGGCCTCTGCTGCTAGGAAAGCGGAAACCCTTGGGCCCAGACTTGTTTGTGTTCTACAATCGAAACTCTGTATCAACTCCAGCTCCGAGATCCTGGCTCGCTGAAAGCAGGTTTCTGGAGTTTTTGTTAGCTTCTATATGTTACTATGTTTCAAACTGCCCGCTCAGAGGCCTGCAGCAGCAGGCGGGGAACGTTGGAGTCCACTGTCACTGAAGCAAGCAAGCCTCATGTTCAGTTTAAGCTGCCTGGCTGCCGGTCGCCATCTTGGCTGTCATTTAATTTGCATATCTCACTGATTAGCCAATGGGAAGGGTAGCGGTTGTACGCCAATTACCATGTTTCTCTTTTATTAGTGTAGATAGTAATTACTTGATTCTGTGTCTCACCTCAATTACATGGAAGCCCTTATAAGTGAGGTATATTCTTGTACTCAGTTTATGGCGTAGTAGCTGATGCTTAGTAAGTTTCCAGTAAATGTTACTCAGATGAATTCAATTGAAGCAATATGGCCTTTGGACCTTAGAGTAGCATGTCTAGTTACTACAAGTAATAAATGGTGTAACAAGGCCTAACTCATCAGCAAACCCTTCTATTGGAGCGTTTTTCCCCTTGGACCTTCATCTCAATCAATGGGAAAATTGTACTTATGAAATATAAATTTGCTTTCTGGTAATGTGCCCATTCCAGTACCAAATTTAACTGTTTTTTGATCCGAGGAAAATGCTGATTCTTTTGCTAACCATGTTGCAAAAGGAGAGCTCGATGTCTGCACTCAATGCTGCAGCAAATGTGTGTGGTCTATGAGAAATGTGTTATCAAGAGCTGGTAAACATTGTTCTGGCAGAAACCCACACCAGAGAGGACAGCATATGTGATACGATTTACAGTCAAATCACATTCCACATGCTCTCAGAGCTCCAGAAAAATCAGACGGCAATTCTCAAATTAGCCATCTGCCTCTCTGCTTTCTGTTACCTCTTCCAGTGAAACAGTGGGGAGGGAGAGATGAAGGGAGGGGTGGGAATATTTTATGAAAGTTTGCTTGGAAGGCTGTGTGTATGTTTTTATAGTATAGTTCTTCAGAGAACATGAATAGAGGCCAGAGATGACATTGTGGTGAAGGGTTCAACCCTTAGTCACACTTGGTCTGATACCAACCTATTTAGTATAGTCTGTCATCTAAAGCAAATTATCTAACATTTCGAATCCTCAGATTCCTTATCTGTAAATGGTGATGGTGAGTGGTGATGTTGGGATGAGGGTATGGGTAAGACCCAATATATATTTCAGGGGGTAGCTTTGAGGAAAAGATATGATGACATTTGCAAAGCATTTAACACAGTTGACTGACATGTAGTAACTTAAATAAATGTCAGCTAGTTGTAGAATAGTAGAGGTAACTGAGGCAGGGTTTTTTTTGTGTGTAGTTTTTTTTTAGAGAGAGAGAGAGAAAACATCAATGATGAGAATCATTGATCTGCTGCCTCCTGCATGATCCCCTACTGGGGATCGAGCCTGCAACCTGGGCATGTGCCCTAGACCGGAATTGAACCCGGGACCCTTCAGTCTGTGGGCCGATGCTCTATTCACTGAGCCAAACCAGCTAGGGCAAAGGCAGGTGTTTGTTTGTTTGTTTGTTTGGAGAGACGGGGGTGGTTTCTATTTTATTTTGTTATTGGTATATAATAAAAATTTGAGAAACTTACTAATTTAAAATTTTTATTTGTAATTGGAGTTTTACCTTTTAATAGCCATATGAATGCAAATTCTAAATGGCACTGAAGCCCTGACCGGTTTGGCTCAGTGGATAGAGCGTTGGCCTGTGGACTGAAAGGTCCCAGGTTCAATTCCGGTCAAGGGCATGTACCTTGGTTGCAGACACATCCCCAGTAGGGGGTGTGCAGGAGGCAGCGGATCGATGTTTCTCTCTCGTCGATGTTTCTAACGCTCTATCCCTCTCCCTTCTTCTCTGTGAAAAATCAATAAAAATATATTAGTAGTAGTTACTAAACTGAAAATATGAGTATTCTATGGTGTAAATTTGAGTTTGAAACTTGATTCCTTGGAATGTTTTTAAATTCTAGTGTTATACCTGAGGAAACTTCTTGGTTATATAAATAATCATCACAATTCTGAATTGTGTGACTAGCTTATAAGCCAAACAAAAAATGCTTCCAAAGTTAGGAGACTTCAAAAGCCGTTCAGTATAAAGCAGTACTCTTGGAAAGGAAGACAGCATTGTGTTTGCTCAAATGCCCTGTGTTCTCATGCCTGCTCTGATTATTTGTGTACACAAACCTCTGAGGTCCTGCCTGTGACCAGCATTGTTGAGGGTGGTGGAATCTGTTGCCATGGGAGAAGGAAAAGAAGTATGAAAAAGGCAAAGGATAAAAGCTGACATCTGGTTGATGGAACCTTCTTTTGCCCCCAACAGTTCTGCCACAGAAAGGGATGAATGGCTAGAAGCGATTTCCAGGTCAATAGAAGAGTATGCCAAGAAAAGAATCACATTCTGCCCTAGTAGGAGTCTTGATGAGGTATTGTCTTTTCCTCCTCCTCCTTTTTTTAATGCATTTTACTTTTTATCTTAAAAAAACTGTTCCCAGGGGTTTAGAAAGGCAACATGTTTTACAGAAGGATTGGAGGTGTGTGTGTGATTTCAGAGCTAAAATTTTATCCTGTTAATGTCTCACTGCAAGTCTATAGCATGTAGCATAGTCATATTTTTTTCTAGTTATAAAACCTCGTTGTATAAAATTTAGAAAATGCAGCATAGTTTAAGGGAACTAATCAGCTGTCATCATACTACCACAGGCATGTTTTAAAATTAATTTTGCATTAGAGGATTGTTAGAATGTAGCTAATCTTAATACCCTGAGAACATGAAAAAATATAATAGCTCATATTTCATCCCATGTCCCTAATTGATACCATCTGCATTGTGATCGCCACTACTAAAGACAAGGCTTGATTCTGTAGCAGTCCACATGCATGCAATAATCAGGCATCGTTCTTCCACAGGCAGACTCAGAAAATAAAGAGGAAGTTTGTCCCCTTGGATCAAAGGCTCCTATCTGGATTCCTGATACCAGAGCCACAATGTGTATGATCTGCACAAGTGAATTTACTCTGACCTGGAGACGACATCACTGCCGGGCCTGCGGAAAGGTGGGAGAGGATAACACCCATTTCCAGTGTGATTTTTAATAGCTCCAGACTGTATATAGTGAGGAAGCATATGTCCCCTTGTAAACCTGTGTAGGAGAGAAAAAAATATACTGAATCACAGGTGGTATTTTCTCTAAATATTTAGGCATGGGGCAGTCTTGTTAGGGAACTTATTCCCTCCTACCTCAAGGTTACTTTAGCATGCCAGTAATAGACAATTTTCATTTAAAAAAAACTTACAAATTCACAATTAAATAGACCCTCGTGTGTGTGTGTGTGTGTGTGTGTGTGTGTGTGTGTGTGTGTGCGTATAAGCCTAAGTGACCATCTGACCGGTAGCTATGACAAGCAATGACCACCAGGAGGCAGACACTCAACTCAGGAGCTGCCAAGCTGCAGTGACTTGGCAGCTGTGGTTTTCAGGTGACGCACCCAGAACCAGAGAGGAAGGAGCCCGATTCAAGGGTGCATCACCTGAGAACTGCCCTCTCACAATCTGGGACCCCTCAGGGGATGTCAGAGAGCCGGTTTCAGCCTGATCCTCGGAGGCCAGGCTGAGGAACCCCACCTGTGCACAAATCCATGCACCGGGCCTCTACTCTATAGATAATTACTTAAACTACATTTATCTGGATACTAATTATAGTAAGTCCTCACTTAACATCTTGATAGGTTCTGTGACTTTACCAGTAAGTGCAAGGACTTAACAATGAGACCAGTTTTACTGGAAGCTAAATGATATAAGCCAGAATTAAGTTCCTGTATGGTCACATAAATGTTATAATGAGATGACATTATTCAAGGACCTGCTGAATTTATAGGGGGAACTTTCAGCATTGAAATTATCACAAATGATGTTTCTAAGTCTTCATGACCTCATTAGTAAACTAGTAATTAGTTTATTAGAGCACAGTAACAATGACATCAACGAGTAATTGTAAAGGTTAAATGAGGTCTTATTTAGAGAGCATTTAATATAGGGGCAGACAGTGGGAGAGATGGTCAGAGGTGGTCATGGTTATATCAGTAATGATAACAATGACAGCAATGATAATGAAGATAATACAGCTAACACAGGACTTACTGTGCATCAGGTGCTGTTCAAACATTTTGCACACATTAACTCTTTAGTATATTATTTTTTTTTGTAGTAAACACTCAATAATCATCTGAGGCCTCTGTATCTTCCAGTGTGGTATTGTGTGTGAGTTCATTGCATGCCTGAAGTCCATAGAATTGTATTGAGAATCAATGACTGGTGGTAAAAATGGTTTTGAAAAGTAGGCAGCACTATAAATTGTAACATACCAGATAGTTTGGATACAAAGATTATTCTAAATTAAATAATTCCAATGTGTTTTCAGATTGTGTGCCAAGCTTGTTCATCAAATAAGTGTGGCTTAGATTACCTGAAAAATCAACCAGCAAGAGTATGTGAATATTGTTTTCAAGAACTGCAGAAATTAGGTAATATATAAGTAAAGACTTAACCCCAAGTTCCTTTAATTCCCAGATGCTTTCAAACGGCCTTCTGAAAGAATCATCTTAGAAGAATCACATTAGCAATATGATTTGGTGATACTCATCTCAAAATATTGAGTATTTTGCTTTCCTTAGTTAAGCTCTCTTAACTCATATTTAGTAATATTTTCAAGAGAGGTTGGACTGAAGTTTATTCTTACTCTAATCACAGTTTTGCTTAGAATACTAATTGTAGAAATGTAATTATAGGATGAAATGCTTAAAACAGTTACAAGGGCACTTTAACTCTCAAGTAATTTTGAAGTTTCTAGTTTCACAACTGTGCTCATTACAAATCATTTTTATATATCTGTAAAGTAATTCTTTATGGAAGTATACCTGGTGTCACTTTGATAGCCTAATTTTAATCACTTGGATTGATTTAGTGAGGTGTTATTGTACATATAAATGTGTAGCTTTTCACTAAATATGAAATGATATATCATGTCTGCCTACTCATTCCCAGGTAATTCATCCCTGCAGTTAAGCAGGACTGTTCAGGTCTATGTTTTAGGAAGAGACCTTTAAATTCCTGAAACATTTAGGCTCTAAATTTTTAAAAGATTATCTTTCATTTTCATGAAGAGCAGCGTTTCATCAGCATATGAGAATAATTGAATGAAACTAGATGACATGTGATTTGTCTGTGTACAAGAAGACATATCCATCTAATTATTCCCTTGCCATGTGTTCCTCCATGTGCTCTCTCTGGGTATATAGTATTGGCTGGAACCATTCAAAATAAATTCTTTTGAACCTTTCTCCCCCATCATTAAGACTCATTTGGTCAGTAAATCTTGTCAAGTTTATCTTTGTCTTTCTCTTGATTTCTTCATCTCATAAAAAGGCCTTCATTATCTTTCATCTGGACTACTGCAGTAATTTCCAAACAGATTTTCTTGCTACAAATCCGTCTTCCTTTCCACTGCCAGATTTATTTTTCCCAGTTCAGTCTGCTCATGTCACTCTCCAGCCTAAAAGGTCTTTCATTTCCCACTGCCTAAATAGCAGCAGTCCAGGTTCCTTAGAACCAGCCTTTTATTTCCAGCCTCATAGTATTCTCCAAGTAGATGATCTGATTTCATCTCTCTCTGTTTTTTGCTTATGCTGACCTCTCTTCATAAAGCATTCCTCCTCCTCTTCTTTGCTTGGCAAACTTAGGTATACCAACTCAACCATCTCATCCTCTTCTCAGCTTTTCCTGAACCTGTGCAGTCAAAATTAATTGCTTGCTCATCTTGTCTCGTAGCCCCTTTTATTTTTTTAAATTATTTTTTAAATGTTTTCATTGATTTGAGAGAGGAAGGGAGAGGGAGAGAGAAATAGAAACATCAATGATGAGAGAGAATCACTGATTGACTGCTTCCTGCAAGCCCACACTCAGGATCGAGCCTGCAACCTGGACATATGCCCTGACTAGGAATCGACCCGTGACCTCCTGGTTCATAGGTCAATGCTCAACCACTGAGCCATGCCGGCTGGGCTTGTAGCCCCTTTTCATTGTAATATTATTTGGTTCATTGTAATATTATTTGGTCATGTATCTAGATACTAAATGAAGTTAGATTTGTTTTTTTCAAGTCAGGAGTGAAGTGTTTTAAAAAATGTTTTTAAGTTGGTAGTACAATGACATGTTCCACAATTCTAAAGGCACAAAAGCGCAATCCTTTCACATGGTTTAGTGTTGAAAAAGTATAAAATCATAGACAGTGGAAAGCCTTCCTCCCACTCATCTTCTGGCCATCTATCTTCTGTTGCCAGGGCCGTCAGTACCACCAGTTTCTTAAGTATTCTTCCACGGAAATTTTATGCAATAATGTTTATTGATCTGAATTAAATTGAATTGCAGAATGGTTACCACTGGTGTATAAGTGTGCTTGTTTCTTTTAGATCACCAGCACTCTCCTAAGATTGGATCTCCCGGAAATCACAAATCTTCAAGTGCCTTATCATCAGTCTTACAGAGTATTCCATCAGGGAGGAAACAGAAAAAAATCCCAGCGGCTCTCAAAGAAGTAAGTGTCTCCATTAAACTTGCAACCTGATAGAGGCTGAATTATTCATACACATAATAGACTGTTTCTCATTCATAAAGGAAGATGTCATTTCCCACAACTATTAAGACATGCATTTTAATACTGGTGATGAGATGTGGCTGATGCCTCACTATCTTGCTTAGTCTCCCATATGACCTGAGTCATTTAGAAAATGGCTGTCAAAAAGTTTGCAGAATATTTTATAGCAGTGATAGAAAGTAAAGATAACTTGGGTGCATGTCAATTATTTTTAAATAGTTCGTTCTCATTTTTTATTTTTAATATATTTTTATTGATTTCAGAGAGGAAGGGAGAGGTAGAGAGAGATAGAAACATCAATGATAAGAGAGAATCATTGATTGACTGCCTCCTGCATGCCCCCTACTGGGGATGGAGCCTGCAACCTGGGCATGTGCCCTTGACCGGAATCAAACCCAGGACCTTTCAGTCTGCAGGCCGATGCTCGATCCACTGAGCCAAACCGGCTAGAGCATGAATTTTTAATATTACTTTGAGGAGACCCCTAACTAGAGGGAAGAATATGCAGAATATTTGTAGGCATTGGTTAGTTATATACAGCTGATAATCACTAATAATAGGTTGTCATTCCTTTAAGCTTAAAAGAAATATTTAAAAGGTGATAATAGCATATACTAGTACAGTTAGACCTGGCAGTGGCATAATCCACAAGCATCACTGGTATCCAATCCCAGTTCCTCAAATTCAAGTGTTCAGTCAGCCAGTGCCAGCGATCAGAAGCACCGCCTTTCTGGCCACTCCCCCTTTAATTAGTTTATTAATTGGTTCCACCTATGCTAGTTTTGTGGCCAGTAGAGTTTTAAATTTTATTCTCTTGCTTAGTTACTGTGTGAAAACATCACACATTTATTATCTCAAGAGCCCAGGCATAGCTTAGCTGGGATCCCTCTAGGGCCACAACCATAGTGTTGGCTATTGTTGACGGACTAGGGAAGGTTTACTTCCATCCTCACTCAGGCTGTTGGCAGAATTCATTTCCTTGCAGTTGAAAGACTGAGGGCCTTGGCTTCTTATTTGCTTTTCCTAGAGGTTGTCCTCAACTCCTTGCCACACGGGCCTCCCACCATGGTTGCCTGTTTCTTCAAAGCCAGAATGGGAGACAGAGCTGTCTACTAGTAAGATTGAGTCTAATATAATGTCATAATCAGGGGAGTGACATCCCATCAGCTTCACCCTATACTGTGGGTGAGGAGCAAGTCCCAGGTCCTGCCCACATGTAAGGGGAGGAGAATGTGCAACAGTGTGATTTTCAGAGGCAGGGGTCATGGGGAGTCACTTCAGGGTCTGTGCACCACACCACTAATTAGGCAATTCGTAAACTTGGCTATTGTTCCTGTGTTAAAAAAAGATAGAAAAGTCTCAACTGCCAAATTATAATCACTATAAAAGCTTACTATATTTTGTCTAGAGATTAAAACATTTTCAACCTTTTATGAAGCAAAACAGACTTCTTTTCTTCCAGACCAAAATTTGGGGAGTAGAAACTGATCCTTAAAATCACCATTAATAGAATTCTCTATTTACTTTTCTGTTGGTACAAATTTTTAGTTATTTCAGGGACAGAGTTTAAGTTTTAAGTAATTTTCTCTGATTACCAGAATAAGAAAAGCAATAAACAACATACACAGGCCCCAAAATGCAGTTTTAAAAAAGGCTTTTTGACCTTTGGAATTATTTTTCTTCTGGAAACCAGAAAAAACAGACAAACCTGCAAAGAAAAACATACATACAAACCAGGTAGAATTCTAGGACTGCTTCTAAAAGGTTTTTTTATGCATGTGGTAATTCATTATCAGTGGAGAATAGCAGACTTTGAAAATAAACTTTAATTTTGAAATATTATTATTATGGTTATTGCTTTCAGAACCAATGATCAAAAGCTATTTTATTATTTTAAATTTTTTGTTTGAACACCATATAACTGTATATGGGATTTGCTTATCTAGGTATCAGCAAATACAGAAGATTCTTCCATGAGTGGCTATTTGTACAGGTCAAAGGGCCATAAAAAACCTTGGAAACACTTTTGGTTTGTCATAAAAAATAAAGTGCTATATACATATGCTGCAAGTGAGGTAAGATCTGAAATCTAAATATGTGTAATTTGGGTATCGTGTTTTATAATGCCAACTGGAAATAGTTACAGTATTTGTTTAATCTGTTTTATGTTACTTGTTTTGCTTTGCTTCTGGAGGGGGAGATGTTGTTACCTTAATTTTGTTATAATCTTCACCAAGGAGATAGATATATGTGTGTGTGTGTGTGTGTGTGTGTGTGTATATCCTATATAATAAAAGCCTAATATGCTAAGTGTCCAGTCATCCGATCGGCCATTCAGCCAAAGCATAATATGCTAATGATATGCTAAGGCCGCTCAACCACTTACTATGATATGCACTGACCACCAGGGGGCAGACGCTCCGACTGGTAGGTTAGCTTGTTGCTGGGGTCTGGCCGATCAGGACTGAGCAAGACAGGCCAGACACGCCCTGGAGCCTTCACTTGGTCCCTCCCCAGCTGGCCAACCTCCTGCGTCCCTCCCCGGCCCGGATTGTGCACCGGTGGGGTCCCTCAGCTTGGCCTGTGTTCTCTCACCATCCGGGACCCCTCGGGGGATGTCGGAGAGCTGGTTTCGGCCTCTAGTATATATATTTACTTTTCGTGCACAAGTGGGGTTCCTAGGCCTGGCTGGCGATCAGGGCCGATCAGGGCCATCTGACCCAGTCTTGATCGGGGCTGGGCCGATTGGGGCCCGCTGGCCAGGGGGAGGGACTATGGGAGGTTGGCCGGCGTGATCAGGGTGGATCAGGGCCAGCCTGCCAGGGGTAGGGACCAGCCAGGGGGGAGGGACCATGGGATGTTGGCTGTGGGAACGCACTGACCACCAGGGGACAGCTCCTGTGTTGAGTGTCTGCCCTCTGGTGGTCAGTGTGCATCATAGTGACTGGTCAACCAGTCATTCTGGTCTTCTGGTTGTTCAGTCGTAACAGTCGCTTGGACTTTTATATAGATAGGTAGATATATATATATTATTGATTTTAGAGAGGAAGGGAGAGAGACAGAGACAGAGACATGAATGTGAGAGAGAAACATCAATAAGTTGCCTCCCATTTGCATCCTGAACTGGGGATTGAACCTGCAACCTAAGTGTAGAAGACGATACTCCAACCAACTGAGCCACCTGGCCAGGGCATGTTGTTATTTCTAATGTAAACGGTGTCTTTGTTTTTGTCTTGAGAGCTCTTATTCAAAAGTATTAGGAATTTTCCATAGTATTAAAATGTAAGTTTTTTTGGTGTCATGTGACTACTTCACTGAAGGCAGAGGTGTTTATCCTTTCTGCCAAGCTCTGCTGGATGGCATCCCTTGACTGTCCCCAGATTGCATTGATCAGGCATCAGCATAGATAATCTAAACTTCCTTTGGGTTATAAGCAATTTCTGGTTGCTCTACACGTTCAGAGAAACTTCTCTAGACACGAACTATAGAAATGATCCCTGAAAGTATAGTCTTTATATAAGCAATTTCTGACAGTTTGCTTTAATACTGCCTTTTTCTCCTATCTGATCACCATATGTTCCAACATCTATGAAAACCTCTGCTCTAAGGCCCAAGCTTTTCCTTAGTGGGCCTGGCGTAAATCACTTGCCCTTCTGAGCTATGTTTCCTGCATCCACAAAATCAAAGTAATATAATTACCTAACTCCTGTGGCTGTAGGGAAATATGTGAAAAACAATGCATGTGAACATATTGAAAACTGTCTATCTAGCACAGTATCTGGCTCCTGGAAAGGGAGGGGGTGTGGCTCAGTAAATATTGTTGAATAAATGAAAACTGGGTAAGTTGCTAGAGTTATTATTGTTTTATATATGTGTACTAGAGGCCCAGTGCACGAGATTTGTGCACTGGTGGGGGGGTCCCCTAAGCCCAGCCTATGCCCTCTTGCAGTCTGGGACCCCTCAGGGGATGTCCGCCTGCCGGCTTAGGCCTGATCCCTAGGGTTATTGGGCCTAAGCTAGCAGGCAGACATCCCTCTCACAGTCCGGGGCTCTTGCAGTCCAGGACCCCTGCTCCTTACCTGCAGTGCAGGCGAGAGAGGCGCCCGCCACCGCTGCTGCGCTTGCTAGCCAGTCAGCAAGCCAGTTGTGATCCTGGCTTCTGGCTGAGCGGCGCTTCCCCTGGGGGAGTGCACTGACCACCGGGGCAGCTCCTGCCGCTGTTCGGTCGATTTTTATTAAATAGGATATGAAATGAAATGAGAGCCATATATATATATATATATATATATATATATATATAGCAAGAGTTCGCAAATCTGAATTTTATTTAAATTTTAAAACCCATTACCCTCCATGTCTTTTTAATTTAGGATGTGGCAGCTATGGAGAGTCAACCTTTATTAGGATTCACTGTCACTGAAGTCAAAGATGAGAATTCAGAGTCCAGGGTATTTCATTTACTGCATAAAAACATGGTATTTTATGTATTCAAAGCAGATGATGCTCACTCAGCTCAGAAGTAAGTAATTTAGACATATTTTCCTTTTATGCATGGAAGTGTGAGCTATTGTAAGATAACCTACTTTAGGGACAACTAAGAATTTAAGTCAGGATCCAAATAAGAAATGTTTAAGATATTATTCAAACTCTTTAGCATTGTTTCTAAAGACAGGCTAGAGTACCTCGAATATTTTCAGGAGACAGAGGGGGAAAGAAAATAGGTAGTTCTGTCCAAAATATTTGTGTATGCATGACCTCTGAGGAAGCAGCATGATGCTGCTCTGCTGAGAGGAAGGGATGCTGAGGTATTTGACCTCTCCTTCAGTGAGGGTAAGAATCTTCTCTTGAAACATTCCAGGATTTGGCAGTCCAATGATTCCATTGTGCCGGGGAACTGCAGGAGTTTAAACAGCTGCTTGCTAACTTCTTTGGGGGAAAGGTCAAACACATTAAGAGGCTCCCATGCTGTTCCCAGTGACTGAGTAGAAGGAATTAGATATCATTTTTTAAAAATTTTTTGAGATAGATATCATTTTAGATAGTAAAGACAGTCTCTTCAAAATTCCAAGAATATTTAGATGTCATGAGGTTGCTTGATATAGAGAAGTATATCTCGTGAAATCAAGGCCCTTTCTGAACAAACAGTTCACCTCTTTCATTTGTTTTTTATTTTGGTCTCACAAAAGACACATTTTTTTTTTTCACTAAAAGATACTAATCTTTTCTGAATAAACTCAAAAAGTGCATGCAACTAAGAATGCTTTAAGTAAACAAGGCTTTTCATTTTTAAGGCAGTAAGAATTAATGTACCAGGATTACATATGTTCCTGGAAATTAATCAGGTACAGTGGTACAAATACTCCCTCCCCCCATCCTAACCCCTGCCAATGTTAGGATATTTAGCTGTATATAGCTGCTACTTCAAATAATTCCTTTTGTGTACTGAAGAATGTTTTAAAATTATGTTTTAGCTATCTTTTTTCTTGAAAAATTTCTTAGTAATAGTTATTGCCCCAATATTCTGTTAGATATTTCTCATCATTTTAATTTATATTCATCACAAAACTGATAATTATTGCTTTTGAATATATATCTTTTGCTCATGTCTTTAAATTGATAAAGAAATCACTTTATCAATTTGGGGATGGAAGTGGAAGAAGATGTAGGAGGGTAAATGGTGATGAGGAGAAAAAATAATTTAAAAAAAAAAGAAATCATTTCAAGACAGAATTGAACTTAGTTAGGTGAAGAGAACCAGCTTACTTGTAATTTAGAATTAATACAGGCTAAAATATGAGTTTCTCTTTGAGGGTATTAATATCAAATGGGTTGCTTTTTTGCACATTACAGAATAGTAAAGTATGTTAACTTCAATGGAAACTTTTGGCTTTTTAAAAAGCCTTTGTTATGGTATAAGATATGCCATTTGCATTTAAAATTTAAAATTTTGAAAATTCTATCCTTGAAATTTGAGCTAAATCTGTCATATACTGCTTTACTATTTAAACTGAGTGATTTAAAATGTTCCTAGTAAGTTCAGAAGCAGTTATACTACTAGGGAGGCACAAAGACACTACCTCCAAGTGTCTGAATAATTGCCACTATGTGTATTGTCAAAACTTTGAGACTAAAGGATTTTGAAAAGTTCTGTGAAACTGTGAAATATTTTTCTATTGCATACAAATTTTTGATCAGACTAGATGTTAGATTCCCTTTCATTGAAAATTTTAGAGCAGGTCTAGACTATGGATGTTTAAGGAATCTCTGGTTAAGGGAGAAGGAGACAGGGACAGAGCTTGTGTTTCTAAAAGCAGAAAGGGGGTTGAAATAAAGTCCTTTAAAGATATAGCTACTTCCAAAACCAATTAAATAGGGTCACCAGGACTTCATAGAACTTTCACATGAAATGGGTCCTTCCTCCTGCCTCGTAGAAATAAGAGATGCACTTTTCAGTCCAAATTTTTGGCCAAATTATCAAATAAAGGATACTTCCATACTTATAGAATTCTAGTTTGCTATAGGAAAGATCTTAAATACATTGTTAGGGTAACAGATTCATAGGCACAGCTATTATCGGTGTTAACATTAACACATATCAGATAATTGCATTTTATGAATCTAACCAATTTCTCTTATTAATAGGTGGATAGAAGCATTTCAGGAAGGCACAATATTATAGCAGTATTGGTCTCATCTCTTCTGTGATTTCAAAAGGGTGGAATTTCATCAGAATGGAGTAAATACAGTATAAAAATTTAATACAAATGAACACTGCCAAGATAAATGTAACCAAAATTTTCATCAAATATAAAAAATTATTTTGTTAGGTATAATTTTTTTAAATGTTTGTTTTTTCCATGTATGTTATTTATTAAAATTTTGATGTTTACTTAAGTCAGAATTACTTCTGAAATTCACACTGAATTCTAAAGTACCTTTTCTTTAGAAATTAGAAAATGTATCTTAATACTGTATGCTGTATTAACTGTTTGTGACATAGTCCACACTGTTTTCTCAATGTGTTTTACAGTGTTACATTGTAATAATGTTCTCACTAGTGGTAAGTCTTTGTAAATGAAAAAACACACATCAAGGAGCAAGTTTCATGCAATGTTTGGTTTAGAAATTATGATTAGAAAACCGCTTATGACAAGAAATGTGTATCTTTAAGTCAGTAAACTAAGATGAATTTTTATCTTTAATGGGAAAACACATGGCCAACTTCTACCTCCGTAACTGTGAAATGAAATTCTAATAAATTTTCCCAAGCATTTCTACTATGATGCACCTCTTTTGGCATGAGATAATGTTACATCATAAAGGAATTATAGCAGAGGGGAAGAGTCTGGATTTTTATTTAACCGAATATACGTAGGAAATAAGATGTTTTCATTTGTAGAGGAACACAAATTAAATCTATAGACTTTACATTAATTCAGTCTAAACTTTTTTTAAAGCTACCAGTTCTACACAAATATAAGTGTATTGTTTTTTTTTTTAAATGTAAAATATGGCAAGCATTATATTACATAGTGTCCCTTGTTACTGTAAGTGTTCTGAGCCCAAGTCAATAGTGGTATTTGTATCTAAAAAGAATGTTACATTTCCTTTGTGCTTTTAAAAATGAACTGGAATTATCGTATCAAAAAAGCACAAATTTTAAGCCAGTATTAATTGAAATTGTATAGTATTCTTTTTTGAAAAAGAGTTTTTTACTACCAGTTTGTGTTAGGTCCTCCCTGGTAAATTTTTTAAAAGTCCGTTATTTCTTTAACCAACTATCAGTGCACCTCAGTAGGAAAGATTTATATTCATAATTCTGGTGCACTTATTGTTTAACATAGGAACTACTTTGTAAATAAAATTGGTTCACAGAAGAAAAATGAACACTGATTAAAGCCATTCCTGATGTTCATAGGAAGATTTATTGACTGAGCTTAAATTATATGTAAATTATCCTAAAAGGCAAAATTATTCATTGAATATTTCATTAACCAACACAAGAATTTTCCTTTCTTTTGCATAAGGGATTTCCTGATTCACTGTGATATTTATGATTGCCAAGAGAATTCAAGTGCCTTTCTGAGGCCTCTTGAATGTTTTTTGTTGCAGCACCAGAGTCCCTGTTAAATGTAGAGTTGGCTGTCCTTTTTTTCTGGCTTTTGCTTGCTGTGGAATCATTTTAAACGTTGTTGCCATCTCACACACAATCCTCACATGCTACCTCTCCTGTCCTGCTACTGTGGGTAAACTAATAGTCTTTGCAGCTCATTAATTTTAATCAAGATAGCATGAATTGGGCTTCCATGTTAAAAATCCCTGCACTTTTTAGTATAACCTTTTTGGAGACCAAGGTTATACTTTATAAAGTATTTCCTTCTGCATCATTGGGCTTAGCACTTCACAAAACAGTAAGTTATTTAGAGTTCTTCCCCCTCCTCTTAAGCTCTCAACCTTCTGACTACAGGTTTGGTTTAAACCTCAGAATCTTAGAAAATATCAGGCAGGCTATTCTAGCTTTCAACAGTTGGCTGAATCAAGAACCAGTTATAAATCTAAATAGAAGAAACATTGCACAAACTTCTAGTGATTCTTCTAATTACACGTGAAACTCATGTATGATTATACTAGCTATTGGCTTAGCCCCATGGAGGGTTTTGCAAAATATAAAATACAGCCTCTTGAGGAAGCTACCAGATTACAACCCCAAACCCCATAAAGATGTCTTAAATGTGGAATAGTTTTATATTCCCTTTCCCCCTTATCAATCCTCATAACTTACTAAAGCTGATCAATTATTTATTTAAACTGGCTAATTCAATGTCAACCGAAAAACCTAATTATATACGTTTTGTTGTAAAGCTACTTTGAAAATATCTCTTGATAGCTAACATTTTAAGGGGGTGGGAATGATATATTGGGTACATCCTATAAATGAGGAGAAAGTATAAATAGTACCTAGATCCCAAGAACACTGTATTTATTATACTGATACATGTGCTTCCATCAAATCTTTTCAAGTAACTCCTTTTATTCATGAGGAGGAGAAAGAAGAGCAGTTATAAAGTTAAGCCAAAGGGATTCTGAAGTAACTTAGACAAGAGATGGCAGTTTAAACCAGGGGATGGTTGCATTCTTAGGGTGTGTCCCCAGCCAGTGGCATCTGTAAATGTAGAGGACCCACCAGAGTCCTAGGAAAATGAGAATGGTTATTTTTGGGATCATCCCACATTTTGGGACCTCTCTGCAACCTTCCCCGCCCCCACCCCCACCCCGTTCCCTAATGTATCCAGTGTGCTAGAGTCCTTTGCCCAAGACACTTAATTCTTTCCTCAATCAAATGCTTGATTCTTTGTGTATGTAATAGCATTTCTTAAAAATGAGATCATCAGAGCAACCTTTGTTTAATATAAAGATGTGATGAAACAAGTGAAGAAGACAACTTTAAAGTGTAGTTTTGTTAGCCAAATGTGTATTTTATATTTGATTGGTAGAATATATCCAGGGAAATAGGGAAAGCCAGGTATAAAGTAATTTAGTTAAAATGTAAATGTCATCACAGCATATGTTGATATGTCCTGGAATGTGCTTTCACTGTACTGTTTTTGAAGTCTGAGAGGCAGTGTAGTCAGATATAATCACTGAGATTTCCAGAAGTAAGTCCTATTTCTCTTACTGTACTATACACTCCTGGAAGGCAGATGCTATGTCTAATGTCTCAATTTCTCACAAAATACCTACCTTCTTTCTGTCTTTTAAGAGATAATATTTATTAAATATTGTTTTAATATTTGTTTCTTCTACAAAGGACATGATTCTTGTCATCTACATCTCAAGCACAGCTCTCCAAATGCCTACATTACAACTCATTTCTTAGACCTACACATTCCACCATCCTGCAAGGCCACATTTGCAACTACCACTTGGACACTGACACACGAGTCCTTAAGCATTTTAAACTTTACATCACTAAAACTCACTTTTCTTTTAATCTGTTTATTTTCTTCTGTGATGAAAAAACAGCGTTGTACTCTCCAGAATCTGACTCTGAGTCTCAACAGGGCCCTCTGCAATTGCTCTTGTATCCTTTCCATCTTCATTGCCCTTCTGTTGTTGCACAGACCCTTGTTACTTCTTTCCAATGACTGGAATAACTCTTCTTCTGATTTCAATGCCTTCCTTGCACCGTCCCACTTTAAACACTTCCAGAGCCATCTTCTAAAGCATAGCTCTGCTTTCATCCTGCTCTTCCACTTCCGTTGGCTTCCCAGTGGCTTGGCATGGAACACTTTTCCCCAGGTATCATGCACTCCAGCTAATCCCAACCCAACCTTCCTCTGTCCAGTTTGTTTTCTCACCCTCTCTTCCACCCCCATTTCTGCCTATTTATCCAAGACTTCTCTGAAGTTGATCCCTCGTCCTTCTCTTCCCTACTTCTCTCCTGTTTCTTCCGGCTAGATCTAGTTTTCCCTTCCTCTATATTCCCATAGACTTTAGCTCATAAACAGACTTTCTTATGGTACTTATCACATTCTGTCCTGGAGACCAGCAACTGCATCTTATTCTTTTGAGATTCCCCCTCAGCATCTGGCAGAGTGCCTATAATTGTTGGATATTCAGTGTTTGTTTGATAAATTACTTCAAATGGATCCCCCCCTTTTTTTAGTATCCCCAATACACAAATATCATTCAGGAGCTTATGCCACTTTTAAAGTTATTTTCTAAGAGAAAATCTTTCCTACAACTTTTTTCCCCCTTTAAGAAAAGAGATAAGTAATTTCTAGTAGTATTTTCTTTTTAAGATGAAGGTGGCAGTAAATTTTCAAAACGCCTCAATGTATCAAATTCCTTTTTTCTGCTGTGGGGAGAGATTAAAAGGGGGCAGCCTTTTCTTTTATATAAGTTGGTCATAGCATCTTGAAAACCAATCTTAAAATGCTATTGTTTCTTTAAATGACTTACAAATTTCTATAAATACTTTTTACTTAAAGTGATAATAGTCTGTATCTTATTGTCCACAGAGATCTACTAGTAAATCCTTTATAAATCAAATGTTAGCATTGTAAATAATGTTAATATGTATTTATACAAAATAAATTTATCTACTTTTGATGTGATGTGTTTTAAATTGTAATTTTTTATATTATTATTTTTTGTTTATTTTCCCTTTCGTTCTCTTTAGACCTTAATTTTTTTAAGAGTCACATTTAAAGATGAATCACATTGACTTGTTTTCCTGAAGCATAATTAGGGGATGCCCTTCTCTACCCACAAATGATGTTTCCCAAATGGCTTCTACTTCCACATTTTAATAAGTCAACCTACTGTAACTTATATGAATTAATTGGATGATAAGGGGTAACCACAAGCATCACTATAAGCGCTCATATTATGCACTGAGAATAGAGACAAGGTCTCAGATTGCCTTCTTCATTGTAAATATGCTTTCTTAACTTCCACTTTTGAGACCATCTTAAGGATTTGGGGGGTGGAGGGAGGAGGGGCTGCCTTAAAACCACCAAATAGAACAAATGATGCCAAAGGAAAAGGGGAACTTTTAGAGAATGCGGCCTAAAGTATATTTCTACTTGTTAGAAATAGAGCTGCATGCCCCTTTTCTGTGTCCTGTGTCCGGCTCCTAGTTCCAGCAGGAAATGACAGAGATGTTCTCCTTCCCAGTGCACCTTTGTTTTCCTCACTTGGGTTTCTGGCCTGAATCCATGACTGCTTTCCTAGTGCTGGTCAATACTAAAGAAATTTTGAGGACCCCTTCTCTTAAAATCCAAACCATCACACAGTACTTTGCATACAGGACAGCTCTTCCTGCCACATCTCTGTGCCACTGGCAGTTACTGTCAGAATGTCATGTTCCATCAATACCTCTTTCCAATTTTTGGTTGGCCATCAGGCACTGTCCTACAGGCTTGGGAATACACGCCTGAGCAAATCAGACAAAAATAAGCCTTCAGGAATTTGACATTCTAAGTAATTATATCCATGCACCATTTAGCAATTATACCTATTTACTTACAAGAGCTGATAAGTAAAACTTTGCTTTACTACACAGGAGTCTACCCCAGTTTGTCATTTTATTGAAGGGACTTTTATTTATTTATTTATTTATTTATTTATTTATTTATTTATTTATTGTATTGATTTTTTACAGAGAGGAAGGGAGAGAGATAGAAACATCGATGAGAGAGAAACATCGATCAGCTGCCTCCTGCACATCTCCTACTGGGGATGTGCCCGCAACCAAGGTACATGCCCTTGATCAGAATCGAACCGGGACCTTTCAGTCCGCAGGCTGACGCTCTGTCCACTGAGCCAAACCGGTTTTGGCGAAGGGACTTTTAAATGTCTTACTGGGATTTACCCATACTTGTTAGTCCTCTGATAAATGTTAGAGAGCCTATAACAGAGCCCAGTTTCCCCAAATTACAAACAGAATTGCCTAAAACTGATGAGGTTATCTCAATACTCAAATCTTTTCAGTTTCAAACCCTTTCAGGACCGCCTTTGGGTCTTTAAGTCCTTGACCCCCGAGGCGCAGCAATGGCGGGGCATTCTCCCTCCTCGCCGCTAGGGGGCAGTCGGTCTTGAGAGGCTGGGTCCTTTCATCCCTCCTCCCAGGGAGCGTCACGCCCTCCTCTCGCCTGTTCCCCAGACCACTCACGCGCAGGCGCGGGCTGGAGCGCGCACCGCGGAGCCGAGAGGTCACGAACTCTGACCCCCTCCAAATACACAAACCCAGAAAGCTCCCTGCCCCCACTTTCCTCTACCCTCCCCCTCATCCTTCTCCAAGCCACCTCCTCCCGGCGCCCCCCAGGAGCCGTCGCAGCGGCACCGTCCGGTCCACGCCCGGTGCCGGACGCAGCTCGGCGGAGAAGCCGGTAAGAAGCGCCGGGTGCGGAGAAAGCGGCCGCGCCCGGGATAGGGGTGGGGTGGGGGCGGGGGCGGTGTCCCTTTCTCCCAACTAACCGACCCCCCCACCACCACCACCAGTCCCGCCACTGCCGGCGGGCTGGCCCGGTCAGCGGCTCGGCGGCGGGGTGCTCGGGTTGGGCTGGAGCGCGGAGAGCGGCCGGAGCGGCGGGGCCGAACGCGCGGGGCTCCGGAAAGGCTGAGGCTGATGCCGTGGCCGGGGCGCGGGGCCCGGAGCCCGGAGCGGGGTCGGGCGGCGGGGCGCTGGAGGGAGTCCGCGAGCGGCTCGGCAGCCTCTCCTGCGGCGCCTCCCGCGGCGCCTCTGACCTTTCAACTGCAGGGAAAGCTTCCGTCGGGGCGCCGGCGCCGCTCCCCCGCCTCTGGGCGCCGCGCTCCGGGGGCTTCCGTGGCCGGCGGGACGCGGGGGAGGCCGGCCTTGGCCCCGAGGGGCCCGAGCCGAGCCCCGATCCCCCTTCGCTGGGGGCCCCTCGCTGATTCTCGTGCTTGGACGGAGGGTCTCCTCTCTCAACAAGTGGGCGAGAGTAGTCGCTGCCCTCGGACCCGTATCTTTGGAGAAAGAAAATGGATCGGCCCAGGGTGCTCCCTGCACCGGGCTTGGCCAAGTTTCCAGTAGCTCTTTTGTTAAGGAACTCTGCCTCCCGCTTCTGCAGATAGCGTTTGATGGATTGCAAATGTCGCCAAGTTGCCTCGTAACCTTCACTAAGTAGGTCAGCCTGTTTTAAGAAAAAGAAAAAAAAAAAAAATGGAAAAGCAAAATGAATTGAAAGTAAGGCCTTATGGGTTTTTGTGCCTTTGAAGTTGTGGGTAGACCTAAGACAGAGGGTTTGTTTTGTTTTAAGACTGAGGTTTTTGAACAATGCTGTGTGGTTCATTGGTATGTGAGGATTGTTTTTAAATTTTGCTTATATGTGCAATGGGGAGATTTAAAAGGTATCTCTGTTCTTATTTTAAAAAAAAAGTGGATCAGATATAACGAATGTCATCATTCCTTGTGGGGGTATTTAAGTCTTCTTTTAGGAAAGGTTTGAGGGAGACACAAATCAGTCAGCAGACATTCCCAAAATACTTTTTGCACACACAGAGTCTGACATTCCTACCCTTGGGGAATAGAAAAGACAAAAGCAGCAGCATAGACTGATAGTATAATTACCGTTTTTTGCATTATAGGACCCTCTGCAACCTCAAAATCTTACGAAAGCCATGGACTGACCTTCCAGAAAAATGCACCTTTGCATAAAAATTCAGAGTAAAATATTAGAAGTTAATAGAATTCTGTGGATCCTAGTTAACAACCTTAGTATACACCATAAATGCTGGACCTAGAAAGATTGCATTTAAAAAACAACAGCATTTGAACGGAGTGGGAAAGGCCAGGTGGAATTTAAATGAGGGAGGAGGGGTTTGGAATGGTTGGTTAGGAGAGTGATAGCAGATGCAATGAGAAGAAGAAATCGGACTCTAAAGAACACTCTCCTTTGTATTCACAGTGCCTGGCATGTTACAGGGGCTTAGCAAATACGGAAGAAAAAAAAACACCTGAAGGGCCGAAACTTTATACGTTGACCATTGAAGAGACACTGATAGTTCTGAAGTAGGAAAAAAGGGATGTGGTTCAGTTCTGTAAGCATCTGGGGATATTGCTATTTGTCAGAGTTAAGGACAAAAAGATGACTTTTGCCTTCTTGGGACTTCAAATATACATAAAGATGATTCTTGCCTTCTAGGGGCCTTTCATATACATAAAGCTGGGTACATTGAATATACACTCAGGAAACTCAAATCTGGCAGTAGCTGAAATTTTACCCAAAAGGTTCTTAACTTGAGGCCTAGGACTGGCCACAGGAAGTTTTATGAATCCCTCGAAATTCAGCATACACCATCATTTATAGTGTAAATCAGGGCTGGGGAACATCTGGCACACAGGCTGTATAAAGCCCGAGAAATTATTTGGTCTGGCTCTGCCAAGGCATTAAAGGTGAGTTAATTAAATATTTGACCAAATATAGTAGGCTAACTTTTGAGTTGATGATTTTGTATGGCCCTTGGCAGAAAAAAGGTCCCCACCCCTGGTGTAAGTGAATGTGAACTTGTGTTTTCTGGTGAGGAAAAGAATCAATGGAAAAAAATATTCTCGGGTGAGGATTAACCAAACAAAAAAGAATAATTATTCCTTTTGAATCTAACTTTCTCTAGAAAACAATTAATACTATATACCTCTTTTCCCCGTTACTGACTCCCCCATCATTAGCCACCTCATTTTTTTAGCTTTCCTTTAAAGCTGGGAGTAAAATCTGGACTGGTAACCCAAAACATACTTGATTCTTTTCAAATTGTCAGTAGACCTTCCCCATCCAGAACATTCTGGCCTTGGACAGTGTGGCTCAGTTCCTTGAGTGTAGTTCCATGCACTGAGGTCACAGGTTCAATTCCTGGTCAGGGCAAATGCCAGGGTTTGGGGCTTTATTCCCATTAGGGGGCATGCAGGAGGCAGCCGAACAGTGATTTTCTCTCATTGATGTTTCCATCTCTCCCTCTCTCTTCCTCTCTCTGAAGTCAATCAAAACAAAACAAAAAACAAACATATTAAAATCAATAAAAACACTTTTTAAAAAAATTCTGGTATCTCCTAATAATCTTCTGTTTCATAAACGAGTATAACAGCTTAAAACTCTAGGCCTCAAGTTTTTTGTTTTTGTTTGTTTAATATATTTTTATTGGTTTCAGAGAGGAAGGGGGAGGGAGAGAGAGCTAGAAACATCAATGATGTGAGAGAATCATGGATTAGCTGCCTCCTGCACACCCCCCACTGGGGATTGAGCCCACAACCCAGGCATGTGTCCTTGACCGGAATCGAACCTGGGACCCTTCAGTCTGCAGGCCAGCGCTCTATCCACTGACCCAAACTAGTGAGGGCTCAAGTTTTTGTTTTGTTTTTTAATCCTCACCCAGGGTATTGTTTCCATTAATTTTTTTTTTTTTTAAAGAGAGTGAAATGGTGGGTGGGAAGAGAGAGAAACAGAGAAACACCGATGTGAGAGAGTCACATTGACTGGTTGCCTCCCACGGGGCATTGAAGCTGCAACTGAGGTACATGCCCTTGACGGGAAATCAAACCCAAGACCCTCTGGTCCACTGGCTGACGCTCTAATCACTGAGCCAAACTTGCTAGGTA